TCCTTCACATTGTGCTAAACAAACTAATAATAGTGGTAATGTATAGGAAGCTTCTGTAATGAGAACTAAAGAGTACTTTCCTACAAGATTAGATAACTCAAACAAGTTGTTGCAAACATGCAGCGCACATTATTGGAATATGTAGATATAAACATATATTTGGCAATACAACAATTTTATTTTCTTAATCTTAGTTTTATGGGTAATATTAACACTTATTTAGGCTGAAACCCATCAAATTCATACTTACAGAGCATAAATATAGATATGATAAATGTGTAATGTACAAAAAAATCATAACAGCAATTCTGTAAGTTTATGAAGAATTAAAATTTCATATACAAGATAAATACCATGGTTTTCAACCAAACTTGTGAGAGAATACTACTGTTCTTTCTAGTGTACTATCTTGAGTGGAAAATCTGTCAGATGTGAAACTAAATGAAAATTACTTGGAAAATATATTAAGTAACAATGATAATTCTAAAAGACCATTTCTTTTTAAGGAAAGCATTAGGAAAATATTTGTGGCACTACAGAACACATCAGTCTGAAGAGACACAGCCATAGTGACAGCAGATGACAGGGAGCTCCCAGCCAGACAAACTGTGCAGCAGAGCAGATGCTGCTCTCACATTGCCTGACCCTGGATCCCATCCCACTCCTGCAGCAGACCAATTACACTGCAGCTCGGGGTGTTAGCAGGCCTTTGAAGGCAGCATCTGGTTCAACTAATGTTTTCTCTGCTCATTAATAACGGGAACAAGCGGCAGGAACTCACAGAACAGCACACAGCCACGGCCACAAATAATGACCATTATCTCCATGTAGAGATGAAGGTGCCAGAAAATATCATATGCTTTGGGGTTTCATACATGGTCTATTCCCCACAATCAGAATACTTTCTGGTGGGAAAACTTAGACATCTATGAAAAGAGCAGTACAAAATAGTCTAGTGAAATACAGGATGTAACAGTTAAACAATCTTCCATTTCTGTTTTGTTGGGTTTCTTTAGATGAAAAAACCTTTTCATAATCAATCCCATATGAAAAGTTGTCATAAAATATTTATTCTTATTTACTACATACATAGATGTGCCCTTACTAAGGGAGCCAAAGTGTCCACAAATTTCTACAAAATTACTTGGTCCCAATAACCCTCAGTTTGCTGTTCCCAGCTGGAAAGATTGTTCCTTTTAATAACCAATTCAATAAACTGCTGAAAAATGCTTTGTATAATATAGTATTGCCATAGATCTGCTGTTTGTCTCTGTCATTACACTCTGCATTCAATCAATTTACAAATGTTGCTGTGTTCCTTTTTTGCTAGTTCTTATGGCACCCTGAACACAAATCTAAAGATCAATACCTTGTCTACTGAAAAAAAATGGACATAACTAATGAATAATTTTATTTATAATAAAAATTCCTAGTCTCCAAATGGATTCAGCTAATGCTAAAATTCATTTTTCATATTTAACACAAGATGAAAACAAGTACCCTGCACAACACTGTAAGAAAGGCAGTGATAAAAACCAGTTCATTTTTATTGAAGATGGCAGTGAAACCATGTAAAGCTCTGGTGCAGGGCTAAGACAACATCAATACAATGGTAGGTCATTCACAAGGTATCTGTTATCATATTAAAGCACAAAAGGTCCATGTCCAAGAGCAGATGGAATTTGTTTCAAACAGCACCACAGCTCTGCTCTGTGGAAGCAGCAAGGTTCTGAATGAAGTCATTCAAACAAGAAGCCAAGGAGAAGCTGAGCTCATGCTGCTTGCATGAGCTGATTCAGTTCGCCTTGTGCCTTTTGTGTGACAGAAACAATGCATTTGCTGACTATAGACACATCCCTGCACTGCTCCAGCTATTGAATAGCTGCCTCCTCCAAAACAACCACAGAGCTGTTCAAGGGAGCCACAAGTGACTGCTTTTCACAATCACCCTCTGCAAAGCAGCAAGCTGACAGAACAGAGAGGAAACAAGGACTCTTGTAAAAAAGGGAATGGATACCTGTATAAGGGTATCCCAGCAAGCTTCCAGAACACCCAGCTACCTCCTCCCCACTCCAAGCTTACAGCCCAGATGTGCACTGAATGCAGTATTTGGGTTCCCACCCAGACTCTTGGCTCTGCAATAATGTCAGAAAGGCATCATAAAAGTACACTCCAAAATCCAGTACCTCATTAATCAACACTGTCCCCAATGCCATGTGCCTTCTGCTCTGATATCAGACAACAAGAAGACAACAGCAGAGCAGAGACAGACCCCTGATTATTACAAGTGACAATGTCCCCAGACAGCCTGTGCAGACACCAACACCTGCGAGTCTCTGCCTGCCAGGTGACAGCAAAGGGCCTGGATCTCCTGAGGGGAACAGGCACTAACCCTGCACCCTGACCACCTGCAGCTCTCCTCTGTCTCCTTGTGCCAGAAGAGGTCAATACTTCCTACTGTCCCACAAATGTGCACATTGCAGCTTACATACTGAAAATCCCAGTTTAATGTTGGATATCCTTACTCAACAATGAGTACCCAGCACCTCCCTATCCAAGAATCTGCAGTAATCACACCAAGGGATCCCAATACAAACTGAGTTCCTGAGTCTGTGAACTCAGAGCACCCAGTGGGCAGAAATCTAATGCTGGGTAAAATGAGGCACCTCTGTCCAGGAAGAGGAGAACCCTTTCCTTACCATAAATACCATATTCTTACTCTACCTAATTTTGAACTGTTAGCACAATTTGCCTTTCAAATGTCAAGATAAATTCACAGGATTGGCAGCTCAAAATACACAAAACAAAACTTTCCAATGTGTTAAGTGAACAAGCCTGCTTTGGCATTGTTGAAGTCACACTGAACTCCACAAGGCCATTGTGACAGATTTTTTCCCAGAGAATAGTTTTATTTTAAAACTATTACTGCAAATTCATAATTCCAACCCTATGTTCTGTTTCAAGATGGAATTTCAACCTTACTAGTTAATTAAAGCCACCACCTGGAGTGATCTGGCTTTCAAACTGATTTCCTTTGTCTCTCTAATTCACATACATTAATATTTTATTTTCTACTGAAAAAAATGTCACATGTGTGCCAAAGACAAGGCAGATAAAATTATTGCAATAAAACAAAGAAAATACACTTCTTACTGCCAGGTCTCAAGATGAATGCTGCATTATACAGACACTTTAAAAGGCTTACAACTGCAAATTGCTCTATTTTACATACTGTTTTCTAGCCTTTACATCAAGATCTCTCCTAATTTCTTCTCATTGTAATGAGAAAGGAAAAGGGTTGGGTTTTTATTACCTGAACATTTATTCAATGGAGAAACAAAGACTACATTATATATTACAACACAAGCTATTAAAACAATGTGACACTATAAAATACACTGCAAAACTCATTATGGGATAACAAAGCTAAACCCTGAGCAAATAAATGTATCTGCCAAAAGTCAGCAATAATTACACAATGAGAGTTTATAATCTTTAATTATTTAAGAAGAAAAGAAGCTTGTAATAATTAAGTTTTATAGGCTCCTTAACTCGTCATTACTAGGTGCTCAAAAAACTTTAAAACAAGAACACTTCATCTGAAATACTCTATTTTTAACAACAGATGCAATTGTTCACTTAACTGATTAATTTTAAAATAAGATCAAGTAATGTTTTTAAAACCTGCACTCACAGAACAGATAAGAGTTTATTTATTCTCTGATCCATACAATGCATACAGCAACTGCTCAGGCACTTACAGGCCCTGCATCACACAGTGATTGATGTGACACTGTCTTTATGTAGCTTGGAAATTGTTTTTGTTATGAGAAATCTGTAAATCGCCTTGGATTTACATCTGGAATTTCAGAAACTCAAAGATCAGAGAAACTGTTAATTTAATTCATTAAAGTGTATTGGTGAGACAGTACCACCTTTAAAGTTTCTATCAAGTCTGTGCATCTTTGCCATGCTCTGACTTCTCGTACACACAAACACCATTCAAAGGAGCTGGAGAAAAAAGTTCAATATTGAACGATTATAACCTACAAAACTGGTGGGAGGAAAGAAAGGTTCCACACTTCAGAGGAAAAATAATTTTAGGTTTAAAAATCTATATTAAAAATCACTTGATTTTAAGTTATGAAAAAATCAACATAAAACTACAAAACTAACAAGAAAGCTTTCAATAAACTCCAGAAAACTTCCTTTTTTTCCCCAACACATTCATTCTTTGCCTGAGCTCCTCCTAAAATTTTATCATGAACCTCTACACAAGAGGAGATCAGTCTTAATTATTTCTGAAAAATTTCATTTCCAGCCACTAAAATCAGCACAAATTACAGAGCAGCAGAATTTTGACTGGAAAATAACACACTACACAACACATTAAACAGGTACATTGAGCATCTTGTATAACCAAGTTACAATGCAGTTTCAAACTCAAGCATTTTACTTACACCATGAGGCTTCATATTTTCATCATGAAATGTGTGCACTATACAGATGGCTTATTTAATTCATTCCCACCTAAATTAATCAAAGCAATCTGTATCCCCCCCAAAAAGTCTTCAAAGTCTTCATACAGGGTTCTACTGGCATTTGACAAATGGTATACATTTAGCCAGGAAAAGTTGAAAATCCTCCATAAAAGAGTTACCACATCAAAAAATAAGTGACATTATTAATAGGGAAGTGGGATGTATTATTCAGCATAATATGGAATTTAAACAGCACCCACTCCAATAGACTTTAAAATGCCTTTAGTAGCACCTGATTGTTTATATATCTTCTGTGGTGAAAAGGTCAATAGAGTTTCACCTCGAAGGTCACAGTTGCTAAGCAACTGTTTTCAGCAGTTCTGCAACACTGATCAAGCATCTTCTGATCAAGCATCACTGCCTGGACTTGGAATAAACCCATGTCACATCCTACCTGGCCTTCCAAATGTCCTGAGCACGTCCTGCCCTTCCCAGGGAGCAGCAGCATGGCAAGGATACGTCCTGGCAGCACCGGCCTGCGGTTCACCAGAGCAAAGCTCAGCTCTGTCCTCAGGAACACCACCGACGGCTTGATCAGGTGCTGCCCAAATCTCAGCATGGTCAGAGGTGATTTTCAAGGTCTGAAAGAAACAATGTTTAAGATAATTAAGAGATTGGCTCTGCCTTTTCCAAGCAACAGGAATAAAACAATCCAACTGCCTGTGCAGCTTCCAGCAGAAAGTGCCTCCTGGGCTCATCAATTGGGAGTCTTGGAATGGTTGTTATACCTCCCATAAATTGATCATGTCTTTGAAGAAGGGGTGGAAAAGGCTTCTTTCCAAAGCAAAAAATTTACATATAATTTCTTAAAGTCTATTCTCATCATCTTGGCAGGGCTACAGAATTCTAGGGAATGCAATTTCCCCCTCCCATTTTCATTTGTCCTGCATTGTAAACATTTGGGTCATATGTTCTTTGAGAAGCACAAATAGGATTTCACATTTTTTCTGACACAATGCAAATCAGTGCACACAGGATGTAAGAAATAAACCACATTTTCTTAATCTCTCCATTAAATACCTCAACTGAAGAAACACTGGCAAATTGAACAAAGTTTACTTAGACATTTTCCATCCACACGGTCTAGCTTGAGCAACTGGAACGTGAAGATGATCACTGCTACATTTTCTCTTACAGAAAGTCACAGAATTCCACTTTCATTCACTAAAATTTTCTCTCTTCGTGACAAGAATGAAAATCCCTCTTAAATAGCTACAGCACAGTCCCAACTGTGTCTATTTTAGGTCTTTAAGCCCTAGAGTATTTAAAGTATTTAATTCAATCAGAAATATCCAAGGTACTGCAGGGTGAAAAATTAAGAAATGACAAATTTCATGTGACAATACTTGAGACACATTGGAAGCATTATACTCACATTACCCAACTTGAACCAAGTGACTAATCAGGAAATTCAGTTTCATATGTTGCCTGAGACAGGGAAAACTACTGCTACAGCCATGGAGGGTCTTCTGTGGCAGTTCTTTACTTGCAAGCTTACTCTGTACAGTAAGACCTAAACTTGGTCTTAATCTAAGAGATTTATTCTGATTTATCATCCCACTTGTGTCACAGCATATATCACAGTTGAGATGGCCACCACACACAGAACATCACCACACAATTTCAGAAATCTTTAAGCATCCACCCAAACAGAATAACACCGTACCTCATCAGAAGGCTGCAAGCATCTGCCTTTCTTGTTCTTTAGCCCAACCTTTTATACCCTCATGGTTAATGCACTGCACCTGTGTGCCCTCTGCTCCCTTTGGTGGTTGGTCAGTGCCCCTGGGCACACCATGGCTCGTTGCTGTCAATGCTGCTCACCTGTTTCCCACAGCTGTAGCTCATTGGGGATGAGGCTCAGCCACAGCCCCACCCCAATTACCACAAACTGTGTGCCCACACACCTGTACCTGCTCCCATAAAAAAGTACACATAACAACCCCCTCCAAGTGCACACACTTTGAAAATGTCTTTGAGAAATACTTGTTCTTCTAAAGGAACTTCTGGCTTTGTAGTGGTCTGATTCCACAGAAGAACGTAAGTTAAGGGCAGCAGATGCATCTAATCAGGGTTTACACCAGAAAAACACATATAAATCTAAGTATATGATACAGTAACAAATAAGATTACTAAATTTCCATGTAATAAACATTTTCTAAGCAGGCATCATGTCTTGTTTTATTTCTGAAAATCACAGATGAAAGGAAATGCTTAAACAGATTATGGAAGAGTGGAGATTTTAACTATGCTTGTTTCAAAGATGTGAAAAGGCTCTACATTCTTTTCCACATAAAGACAAGAGAAGATTAAGTGTCTGAGATTTGTCCCTTAGCATATATTAAACTTGAAAGTTGACAACATACAAAAATCAAGTCTCTTTAGCCACTAGAAGAATTGCTTAGCAGAGAAAACACCTGCTATCTTGTGCTGATGCTTGAAAAAATGACTATTAGGAACTTCAATCAATCTGCCTCATTTCTCTTAAGCAGTCCATCAGCAACCCCCCATGGGGGTTTTTCATTCCAATTAAAACATGCAGAATGTTTTCACACAACTCAGTAAAGAGACATGGTTCACTTTGCAAGGAAGGAAATGCTTCTGACAAATGAGAGAAACGCATTCCATAGCCAGGATACCCTCCAGTGATGAAATGGTACGCTGGTGTCTCTGGAAGCTGAAAAATCAAATGTTCCACCTGCCCTGGCACTTGGCAATGCTATGGACAAAAATCAAAGCACTACTGATGTTTTCTTGTTCTGTCTTTGAGGACACTGATAAATAAAGGTACTGTCCAGAGACAAGGGACAGAATTAAGCACAGAAACAAGGCTTCAAAATCACAAATGCTAAACGTAAAATATGATGATTTGAAATTCGACTTAAGGAGGGAGAGAACCTGAGATTTGGTAATCAGCTGGAGAAGTCCTCTGGCTGATTGCTGCCATAAGCAAAAAACAGCAAAAAAGTAGCAGAATAAGATTGGTGACATTAGGTTGCCTGTACTATGTTTTCATCATGTACCTACCACATGATATTTACTTACTTTACTACCTTTCTTGTTTTTAAAATACCTAGAAAAATCAGTAAAGTAAAAGCACTAATTTCATACCTCTCTTTGCAATAGTTTGAAGAATCACATTACAGCCCAAGTGGCTTGATATAGAATTAAAGCATTTATTAAAACCCTGTTTGTTTACTATGCAAAAATCTATCTGAATAAAGTATTTTTATCTCTTGATTCAGACTAGATAAATGTGCTTCAAACTAATGTGTGAGTTGTACTGGTTGTGCTGTGTAATATTGCAGACCTCCCAGTGCTACTCTCTCCAATTCTGCAAAGGGATTATGGGAGACTTTTTCTTAAACAATTATTCATAATCTATTATATATTACTTCAGCTGCCTTCTGCCCTAGTGATGCTCTGTGTTTTTCTGCACAGTACAATCATCTGTGCTCAGAACCAACACAAATGCTAAAAAATGCACTAGGGAAATAAGGAATGAGTACAAGTGAAATATCCATGACTGCGCAGCAAGGCTGGAATATTCCAGAGTGCTGCCAGGCAGGAAGCTGCTACTGGTGGAGCAAGTTTTTATTCACCTGAACTCTACCACTTATGGCTTGCATGGTCTGTAAAGCAGCAGGAATCAATGAGCACAGGTGTGTGCACACAGATCACGAGATGCAAACTGTGTGTGCACAAGGCTTCCCAATTCCCAGACTGGAATGACCACGCTGAGTCTGCTCCTCCAGGGATTTCCATTTTTCACATAAAGAGGAGGTCAGTGCCAGACAAACTAGAAACAACACATAATTGGTTAAAGATGTTTCCTCTTTTATGACGGTAGCCTTTCTAATCCCCAGTAATAAGGAGGACAATTACACAGTAATGTTAGAAAATGAAAGAAATCCATTTCTGATTAAATTTCAGCCCAGTTTAACACAGTTTCTATTCTGACTATTCAGATGAAAAGTGTATTTACTCTTCTTCATATTGCTGATATACATTACATTGCCTATTTCATCTGCCTCATTTTCCTAATTAAATTCCCTTCAAGCTGTGTTACTGCAGTTGTAGGTGGGAATACAGTATTAAAGGCTAACACAGCAAGTAGGCTAATTTTACAGCCACAACAGATCTGAAATCTGTATAACCCATACTAGGAAAAGAAAAAAAAAAAAAGACACTGGAAATCCACATTACACCCTGAAAAAAGAGTGTTAAAATTAAGAAAAATCATTACGCCCTGAAAAAAAAGTGTTTGTAATTCCTTAAGTCTGATAACTTAGCATAGTCCTGGTATTTTGTTAGGCCAGGAGACCAAACACCCTAAAGGCCTTGCAATGGGGGGCCAGAAAGCCCTACAACAGCTAGAGAAACCAAGGTCCCCTCTAGAACACATCCTGCAAACTAAAATTAAGCCCATCTAGAAGGAGATACTTTGGGATAGGAAGATATCACACTGTTCATTCAAGCCTCTCATTGAGGTATTTTTGTTGAATATGCTGATTTGCAAGGTCTATAAAATTGTATGCAGGATCTACCCTGAATGTGCATTTTGGTGCATTCCACCTTGGCCAAATGTTGCACCACAAGGATCCTTATTAAATACCAAAATAAAAACCCTTTATCCCTTAACCATGCCTGGCTCTTAATTTTGGATCCAAGAAAAAGGCATAATAGGCACATGGCATTTCCCCAGTCTGTATAAGTACTACTCATATATTAAATGTATTTTTGAGAGGAAATTTATACACTTCTCACTTTTTCAGATTTATTCAGTTTTCAGGTTAAGGCCTTGGTTTGTGCTTCAGTTTTTAAACAGCATAAGCTGTGGAATCATTTGTGTCAAATACCCAGTGAGAGCTCTGAACAGAAAATAAGTTCACTTCTGGGCAGAAGGTAAGTTCACCTAGAAACAGGTCCACAGGACATCAAGATGAGTGTCTGCTTGTTACAGGTCATAGTTAAAATCAGAGACCTGGAAAAGTGCTGGAAGTTTGCTGACTACAAGGAGTGATGGCAGCAGTTCTTTCATGTTCTCTTCCTGCCACCACAGAGCTCCCCATTGGATGCTTAATTGATATGGTGTTGGTACTCCAAAATGCCTCTTTTTTTTTAAATACAATTACTCCTCCTTAGAACAAGGTGTTGAGATCAGCACCTGCTGAGAACCAAGCTCAAGGCTTTTGCTGAGAATCCCCTGAGCACTGTTTTAGGAAAGCTGCACATCTGGTTGTAAAGGGAGAAGATGAGAATGCAAAATGGGCTGCTAACTTCAAATGTGTGTATTAAAGGAAACCAATTACAATACCATTATCTCTCTGTGCTAATAGAAAGGACTGTTTTAGAAACACTCCCAGGAGTATTCTTAAATTTTAAAGTTTGTTTTACCATATTTAACATCACCTCTTCATGAATGTTGACAGTCCTGATGCCAATACTCAAATTCATGTAAAAACACTGAAAATTTATGTGGCAAAACAAAACTTCCTCCTTTCTAATTTTCTTTAAGGTCTTACAAAAATACTAATTTTTTTTTAATTCATCAAGATACGAAAATGTGTGTTACACACTG